ACAACACACAACATTCAAAAAATTATAACAAGTCCAAGAAGGGCACCTAGGATTCCGCATGCACCAACTCTTCCATCACCACATTCTCATCCACCCTATCTTCCCTTCCACTTCCTTCCTCCTCCTCATCACTCATGACAATAAGCTCCAGCTCATCCAGTGCCGGAACTCTGATGGCACCCATGCCCAGGCACATCTCATCCCTCTTCTTCTCCTTGGGATCCAATTCCCCTTTGGAATCCTCTACCAAAAACTCATCTGCATCATCCAAATACCTCTTCCACAATGCCCACTCAATCTGACAGCCTCCAAGTGCATAGAACTTGTCCCTTGTGTCCAAGAAATGGTCGCGACGTTTGATGGCCAATTGAAGACCATCTTTCCTGAGACAGCCATACCAAACTTGCATGTTGGCGACCTCGAAGGGATCTGCGGCATCGAGGGTTTTGGTACCTGTCACATGGGCATTCCACATCTGGGCAACATTCTTGTCAAGTTGCATACACATCATGATCCGTAGGGCCTCTGAGTTCATGTTCTTGAGGTTTCCAAGCTCAGCCTTGGACACTTCCCATTCCTCCCTAAACTCCTCATCAACAAAACCTGATGGCCATTCTGGTGCATCACCCTCATGGAAGTCGTCCACAAGGTCATCAACCCAGCTTCTGAGGAAGTCGACCTTCCTCTCTATCCTTTCCAAGCCTTCCTGGAAGTTGTCCATCTTGTCACAAAGTAGTTGCAACAGGTACACAACCTCATCAGAACTTGCGGATCCTGACCCTTCACCCTGGCTAAATATGCACTTGCTCTTCTTCAGCTTACATCGCTTGCAAGTGCACCTGCAGCAGATAAAACATTTCATGTCGTCTGCCTTACAATGATCACAACACTCTACAGAACAAGTCAGCATAAGCCACGGGATCCTATGGAAGTAACTTACCATTACCCTTATATTCTTCATCATCTGCCTGCATCTCGTCATCCCCATCGGACCCACTACCAGCCTTACTCCCTTCATCCCCATCTACCCTCTCCTTCTCCTTCTCCTTCTCCTTCTCCGCCTCCACGGCCTTCCTAGCTTCCACCAAAGCCTTGGCCTTGGCCTCACCTTCTAACTTCTTCTTCTCCATGGCCCTTCTTGCCTCCAAGGCCCTGGCCTCCTCTTCCAACCTCTGCTGCTCTGCGGCAGCTGCCTCTGCCTTTGCCTTAGCCTCTGCCTCCTCTTGCTGTTTCTTCTCCGTGGCCTCCTGCTCCTCCCTCTCCTTCCTTGCTTTAACCTCTGCAACCTTCCTTTCCTGTGCCAACTTTTTCTCTCGCCGTTCTAACTCCAGAGCCCACCTCTTTTCCTCCTTTTGCTTCTGTGCCTTCCAGGCCTCATGGGCCTCTGCAGCATCCTCCCTAGCCTTCTCCGCAGCATCCCGCTTGTCATAAAAAGCCTCTAGGTCTTCAGGCCAAATATCTTCGGGCATCAGGGCAGGTTCATACAGTTCAGGCATCACAGAAGCATGGTATTCAACAGTGGATGACATGGCCAACGATGAGGACAAAAACTCAGAAAATGGAAGAGATGGTGGTGGTAGGAAGCTAAGAGGTGAAAAGCCACATGACCAACCTGAAAAAATTCCATGCGGTCACATTTGGCCATTGGGATCTGCATCCTTGAGGGCAAGAACACTAAGAGGGGGATACTGTAACGAGCATGCCGATGGAAACCAGACTTCCACTCAACCCAACAAGCCACAGCTCGGAAGCCTACGGATTCCGATTCCCAGTTTCTATTTCATATTCTTTTATATTTCACTTCTCCATTACAATTTATCAATAGCCCAACATTGGTAGCGAATATATCATCAGACCCCATCAGCTACCAACCAGTAGAACACATCCTCCGACAACCCTAGAATGTAGACCACTCCGAGTAGGAACTAGATCAGACTCCTAACTAGTATATAAGCCTTAGAATTACACTGTAGATACTCAGTTTGAATATCAACTTGGTTCAGCCCAATCTCTCTCTCTGACTCTAAGTCACACTCTCGTTCTCCAGTCTGCAGAACTCTGATCCGTTGGACTTATCTCTTACCTTGTCTCTATCACTCCATGGACTTCCGTCCATATCTATCTTAAGGCTTCAGCTCAGGGGTGACATTGCTAATAGCTTCACCTATGCCTGACACATTCCGTAGCTTCCACTACATGCAACCTCTGCCACATTCCTATTGGCACGATCCTAACAGTATCTAGAAGTGTTGCAAGAGTTAATATTTAAGTACTGTGGAGTTAGTATAGCTTACAGTGGAGTGTGCCTCCTACAAAATCTATAATGAATAAAAATCATAATAAAGTCAGTAGACAAGGGTGATCATGAACTACTATTGAGATGCACATCAAGTGCCTTTGAAAACTCTGACATTAGATATGCACATGTATTACAGATTAGGATGGATTGTATGGGACTTTTGGATAGTATTATATACAATCTTAAATATAGGACAATGCATTTTCTATTTCAGACAGCACAGAGGTGTGCAGGGGAGGTATACTATTGAATGACCCTCAAAATACAGAGCAAACACTAATAAATAGGTATTACCGACTTTCTATGACATTAAAATCACCTGGAATTTGCATAAACATAGTATATCTACTCACTGATAAACATCCTGAAGGTTTATGGGAGGTTGGAGTGAGTGGTACAAGCAAAGGATGAATTCTGAGCATGCATTCCCTTCACTTGATTGCTGCAGTCCGACCAACCGAGAAGCAATTGGGTGGCTGTGCTCCATCTTTTCTTACCTTTTACCACCACCACCGATGATGATCACATCCATTTACTGACTCAAAGCCTCTTGTGGGCATAAAAAGGTATGTACTTCTTTTATTTTGATACTCATTCTTCTTTTTAGATGTTTTTGACTTATCCTGTGGCCCCAAGAGCCCAGGATAGCATTCATTATCCCCTCACCTGCCACATAAGCTCTTGAATGAGGCTGCATATCTCTCAAATAATATTCTGCATGTGTACACTCTCCCTACAAGATTCAGAACTGCACATGAAGGGTGGGACAACATCAGGACCCGTCAGTCAATGAGGATGATGACAATGAACATGCCCTTTGGGGCATTGAAGGAGAGCTATGATACCCACTGAATGCAGCAAGAACTGTGGCAATGCAACCACCATGATGCCCATCATTGCCCACCCCATCCTGGTCCAACATCAGACTGTCCTATGCCACTGAGCTCACCTACGTATTTCAAACTCATGCATCTCCCATTCTTTGTATGGGAGATCATGATTCCAAAGTCTTTTTTCTCCCTGACGCTGCCATCACTGCCTGCCTGCCCACCATCCTGACCTCTGCTCTTTTTGAGCCTGTATCACTCTCTCCATGCCCAGTTCTTTGAAAAAAAGACTTACCACCCCCATTATCGACTCCAGTGTTGAGGATTATGGTTTTACAGCCACCAGGCTAATAGCTATGCCATTTTTGTTTTACTTTATTTTGATTTTCATACTGATCATTACCGTAACTTGACTTTGTACCATGACCATCCCCATGTTAGCTACTGAATACACGAGCATTCGAGTCACTACCACCACATTTGTTTTTCCAGCTGATGTCTATTCCCAACATCCAGAGAATCCAATGGTGCACTCTATTCTGCTCTCCGACCCTACAATCATCCTAGAACTATTGTCAACCCCAATCTGCCATCTATTCTGTATCTCACCAGCCTAATTCATCCTTCCACCACTCCATGACTGCACATGTTGACGACCACAGTATCAAGGTCTCCAATGATGCTATGCCCATCACTACCCACAACATCAATGCCTGTCCACACCCTGTACAATGGCGGGCTTTTTTTTTAGTATCATCATAGCTCATAGGGTAGCTATATAGGCTCTATTTCATATCTGTAATATGGACTGTTAGTGCAGTTGTTATAGTGTCTCAATAGATTTGGTGTAAATGATGAGTTGTTGGTTCAATTCAGTCTTGCTATACTTTTGGCTCAGATCATTTTTACAAGAAACTCATCCAAACCCAATGCTTTGCATCCATCTATTATTGTGGGCATCGCATTGGGGTTGGGCTGGGGTAGTGTTCAGAAATATTCTTAGCCTTCAATCCTATTTTTGCAGGCCTATACAATGAGCACAAGGGTGGGAATTCAAGTAAGGTAGAGGCTGTCTCTTTCCAGCACTCTTATGTAATCATTAGTCATCACATCACGTGAGGACAAATTTGGGAATCTGAATTCACATCATGACATTTTCTGAATAAAAACAGCTTCACCTCATTTCCTGTCATCATGTTAGCACTTTGTACAGCAATATATGTTGTTTTAAATATATGAAGATCTCAATCAACTGAAAAGATGGATTACAGCACCTAATAGCACTAACATGGCACTGCGTGTTACATCAATGATGTCATTATAATGACGTGTTTCAATCACGTGATTGGACAAAATGTTCCAGGTGAAATTTTCGATATTGCTCCGAACTGCTGGAAAATGACTTTTAGACATTCAAAAAATGCCCTCAAAATTTTCTGATTAAAATGACTACTAGTCTTTCATTAACACAATTATCAACAAAGTAACTCCAGGGAAACCATCTCCATACATCTTTCTATCATCCTCTGGAAGTATTTTGAGTCAGGAGCCTGACGTGATGGAGGAGATGTCGGTCGAAGAAGTCGGCGTGCTTTGCTTACATAACACATGCTGGAAAGGGATGGCCTCTACCTTATTTATGTTTCTCTCACTAAAAGCATCATGTTGCCAAGTTTGGATGTGGCAGTGGCTGACCAAGCTTACCCATTCCAATAAATTTTTTTGATCCTGATGAGCTTTGGGGGAAATATCAGGCTTTAGGGCATAATCACCTGTATTGGGTAGTCTTTTAGCAGCAGTTGCCACTGAAATTAGGCCATGGATAATATTCATGGTGTGGGCTTTTTCACTCATGGATATATCCATAGAATAAGATGCTCGACTACCTCCAACTGTGGACTCAGATGGAGAGTGGCTCTATCTATGAGGAACCCAAAGGTTCTATGTTGTTGTTGCTCAAGGAAGAATCATTACTGATGGAGACAACGATATACAATTTATCAATACAGCCAGTGGAGAAGACATCACCAAGGAATACTTCTGAGCAAACCATAGGCAGTATGTGGGAACAGGAATGGGAGGAACAGATGAGGAAGAAGATGCAGAAGGACATCAAGGAGATGAATTGGAGGATCCTTAGCATACAGTGCCAACCTCCTCAGCCCTCACATCCTACACTCCCACCTCCTGGTACTCTCCCCATGAAATCCTCGGAGTTGACACTCCACCATGCATTCCTTCACCATACTCAAAAACTGGAGAGCTTGTCCCAGATTGGGATGAGGGCCCTGACCTCTGAGAGCTTGCAGAGTGGAGGAGAAGCCACAACCAGCCTCCTGAGCCAGCCAGACCTGAGTCTGATGTTCTACCAGAAAATGTCCTCTTCATCACAGACCTCAGGAATTTTGCAGAGCCCACACATGCACACATCTCAGACACCTCTACCATTAATTCTGACCAAGACAATATCACAACCGACTACCCCAACTCATCCAACCAGGACAGAGACTCCCACAGTAGTGGGGAGCTCTATGAGTACTACACCCATGCCAACTCCTCACCCTGGACTGAACCTATTCAGTAGGTTATTTTTCCAGGTGACACATGCACTTCCTCAGATACCAATCAATTACCTAGTGAAAAGCACAGGTGCCCTGGGTTTTGCTGGGTTGCTGGGTCAGGTATCACACAGGTCAGGTATGGGTCAACTTCCAAGGGTAACAATGCCATCTTCAAGGAATTCAAGAGTCTGAATGGTTTCTGATTTGAGGGTTTGCTCTGTTTACAAGTGGAGCATGACTCACAAAATGCCTGAGTATCTCTCGCAATAAATACTCTTCCACCACATGTGGTCCCTGAGATAGGCCAACATCTTTGATGATCCAAGATGGACCACCAGGGAGTGAGCCTCACCAATTACAATCTCCCATAGGTCACATTCATGTACATGAACATTCTCCAGGATACAGAGAAGCTTGTGACCATCCTCACACAGATAAACCAAGCCATCCTTGATAGAAATGTGCACCGTAGCCATAATACAGTGATAACATATGGCAGATATGGATATAGGTCCATACCATTGCATCTCTCCTGACTGTATCCATGGTACAAATATCAACCATTCTGTCATGCCTGGCATCCCATTACGGTCATATACAGTAGACTTTTAGTGATCATGGTGCCGATATGCCACTGATCTCATACATGTGGCCCTTTGCCATCTGTCAGCACATTGTGTTTCACTTCACATGCTCCTTGCTCCTTACCAACTGGCTGCTGTCTCTCAAACCTCTTGTTTGCATTGGTTATGGTGATTATTCTGCCTTCATAGTCCTTTATTTATCTGTATTCACCTCTGGGATGTTAACAGTTAGATATTACCCATTTATCTGATTCTCATGGCAAAACCTATTTGATAGTTGCAGATGTCTCACTTCCTCCTCAATGTACCTTCAAAATATGCCAATCTGTAGTCAAATTCAATGCCTTGAACTTCCCTAGTCCCTATGTGTGATTAGCTCTGATATGATTTTTGCTGACATTAAATTTCAAGGTGTTCTAATGACAAAATATCTGTTACTGCCTCTCTGTCTTTTCCATGAGCCAGCCAGAACTTTGTACAGGCAATCACCAACCTGACCATGGTATATTGAGGCCATGTACACATTGAATGAGATCTGATCCCATCTCTCATAGCACACCAGCACAAGCATCGCATGGACATCCACAGTGTCTTGACACCAACATGAAACTGCAGCATTAGTCATTCAGTGTGGCCTTGGTTTTTGGTCATGTTTCTTATTATGCTTGTCCTGGTACTGGATATCCTAGTGACTGTCATTTTCTACACTCCCACAGTGAGATCAAATGCATCTGCAGTGGCAGGGCTCAGCAGAATCATCTTCTATGCTCTATTTGTGTTGCTATTCATTAGTGCATCTTTGTTATATCCCTCCATTGCCTGTTCTCACACTGTGAGTGTAGTGAACTCCATCTATGCACCTTTCTTTCATCTGAGCGGCCTCCTTCCCAAGGTACTGTATCAATTTTGATGTGGACATATCTCCCATATGCACCTTGACTGGCTTCATTGACTTTTGCATGAAGAAATGACAACAATCTTTGTACTTAGAGCTTCTGAATCATCAGTTCCCATGTGTATGTACTCTTATTTCTCTGATGGAGAGTGCTAATGCAAAGTTCAGTGGTATCTGGTGCAACGAGAGTATCTGATATCATACAGGTCATTTCATATGGTAGGCATCTCTCTGTCCAGTTGACTATTTGTCTCCATGTTAAGTTATAGATTTCTTTAGTGGTGAGCCCCAGTGCTGGATCCTTGGACAAACTCATTCCCTCTCTCATCGTAGGGTGAGTGGTCATCATACTTGCCTGTCTGTATTTGTCAATTGATCTTGAGCCCAGCCCTGATCCAAGGGTCGGTTTGGTCATCATGGTCAGTGGGATAGGTAATTCAAGTAGTGAATAGCCTGGGTAAACCCTCAGGTCCAGAAAGCCAACTCGTACCTGTACTCACAAGGGTTATAACCCATATCAGCGGGTTCAGGTTCTGGCCAGGTTATCAGGCATTTTCCACAGGTTGCCAGATATCCAAGTCAGGAATATTTAAATAAGACAATATTATATTATTCTACAGAATAAATCATATTATTAAATGCTCACCAATGATCTCATTACCAGTTCCAAACAAATCTTCATACCAGGGATGACATCATTCTTAACTGGTGAGGAGCTGGGCTTAAACTCACTGACTGGCATCATGCAAAATAAAACACAGACAGCTAAGTTAACCATTGCACCAAACTATTTTATAGAATTTAAGCAATGTAGATCAATACATCAGGTCAGACAGGTCAGCTGAGTTTACCCCAGGTTGCCACATGCTGATGGGTTTTGATTTCGTGGGCCTGTTACCAGAATCTTCCAATTGTGATGGAACATTCAATAGTATTGCAGTATTCATCAACTTATTGACAGGAATGGTACACCTTGCACCTTCTAGAACCAATTACAAGACTCCACAAGTTGCTGAACTCATGTTTTCTGAAGTCTATAAATACCATGGCCTCCCAAAGAACATCATGTCTGACCACAATATAATATTTACCAGTAATTTTTGAACTCATCTTCATAAACTGATTGAGGTTAATCTGCAAATGTCCAGCATGTATCATCCTGAATCAGACAGCTCGACTGAATGCACTAACAGGACTATCACTCAGATGATTCAGAATTGCATCTCACCAGACCAGAAGGATTGGGTTGCCCACCTGCCTGCCATTGAGTTTGCAATCAATAGTGCTTGTTTGGATTTGACATGGTACTCCCCTTTCTTCTTGAATACTGGACACATTCCTCACTCGATGATTTGGAACTCACTGACTGACTCTAAGTTCCTGGGTGTCCAAGAGTTTGCTGAGACTATGAAGACTGTGTTGAAGAGGCTGGCTGTGGGCATCTGTGGAATAGTGAGCAGGCTAAAAGGCAAACCTCAAAAACCCACACACACACTCACACAACTACACAAACTACAATCACCCTCATAAGTTCTAGGGGGAGCAATTATTTCTAATGCGATCCAACTATACTTCAATATCTTGTAAAGTTTCTCTTATTCTCAATGCTCTTAGTGAAGCTAAGCTTTCTCTAATGAATTCCTAAGTCTAGGAACTTTTACAGGAAGGTTGTTCACTGGCACAACACAACCTTCAAGGCAGATTTGAGTTAAAATACACAAGGGACACTGATCCCAACAGAAACAGAGGCAATACATGCTGAAACTTTAGTGAACTCACTAAAAGAACACCACAGGCAAGCACTGACTTAGCCTGCTCACTACACAACTAACACTTCAGAAGTGCTCAGAAACAGATTCAGAAAATGGAAATGCAAAACAGAACTGATGCAGAACAGACTGAACAGAAACAGAACAGACAGAACAGAACAGGACAGAACAGATCTCAGTTTTCCTCTTCAGAACATACTCCAAGCAGACTTATCACACTTAACAGAACAGAAACAGTGTCACTGAATCGTATTCACTCTGGCTAAGTTCTCAAAAGTCTTTTCTCAAGGGTATCTTGTATTTCTCTGAGTGAGCTTGCTAACTCTATGCAAAGCTTGAAGTCACAAACTGATCCTTTGTCACAGCACCACCTTCAATGCATGCACTGGAACTTGGGGGCTTGAAACTTGGCTACTATCTACTGGAACCATCCTACTTATACTACAAGAGAATTAGAATTACAAATGTCATGCAGTACCCAGACTCCTACATGCATAGTGCCACCACTGCCTTACTAAGCATCCAACTTGGACTTCCCAGTTTTAGTCTCATTTCTATAGTGAGCTCACTAAATGTGTGCCAAGAGGTGCTCTCCCAACACCTGCAGGCTTGTTTTCTAGTGACCGACAGTTCTAGGTGCACAGAACTATCAGTTCTGGCATATGTCTTTCAAGACTTCTCTCTTGGATCCACAGAGGCTTCTCATAGACACAGCAACAAGTGAATCTTTGAACAATGGGACTCAGGACAATGGAACATGGGCTCGTGAACTTTGGCTGAAACCCATCACCCTAGTTTATGTCAGTGATATCTGTCATCTCACTTAAGGATTTCCCTGGATTTTCAGGTACAGCATGTCACAGTTAGCGAGCACACTAAGTATTCTCAGTGTCAATGCAATCTTCAAAGTTCTATCTAGCTCCCACGAGTGTGCTTGTAAGTTAGAGCATAATGCATTGGGTATAGGGTTTGGCCTTCTCATCATGTATGCCCATTAGGTACAGTGCTGTGACTAAGTCCTGTTTAGAATCCTGTTGCTTCTCATGCCATAAGTTATATCCCATAGCATTGCACCATGTACCATTATTGTCAATGTGTAGTTTTTAGTCTGCTCACTCACTATATCTCAGTACGCATGTAAAACATGTTGGATTGCAAAATTACACATGTAAATAGGCTGCAGTTGCAACAGCATTGATGAGTGCCCATAATAGCATTCTTGCTGCATGGATCAAGCAAACATGGGATGCAAACAGGCATCGTCAGCCCTCTCCCCTCATGGCTGGAGACTTGGTCTACATTTCAACAAAAAATATCTCACTCTCCAAAGGTCTAGCCTGAAAACTGGCTCCAAAATTCATTGGACCATACAAGATCTTGCAGGACTTCAAAAACAGTTCCTATGAAGTGGAGCTACCTTCTGATCTCAAGCAATGTGGTATTCATAATGTCTTTCATGCTTTCCTGCTTCAGGTGCATATTCTGAATGATGATAGGCTCTTCTCAGGATGAATGGATACCCAGATTGGCCTAACTGAATCTCTGGAGAAAGAATGGAAGGTGTCCACTGTCCAGTATCATTTCTCATGTTGGGAAGGGCAAGCATGCGATCTTCCATATTGAATGGGCTTCAGGAGATTGTATGTGATTACCTTATGCTGATGCTGAAGGACTTACTGTACTGCAGGATTATTTTGATGTCCTTAGTATCATGAAAATAGTGCAATTGAAGGAGAGCACAAGATCATTGGGAGATGAGCCTGCATTTTTTCTAGGGGCCATTGGTATTGATCACTATGGTCCTATAGTTTTGAAGGGCAGGTTGAAGAAGAAAAATTTTTCAGGTATTCAGAGTGGAGAGAGATCTTCCAGTTATAAGAAAGGGAGAAGTTTGGAGTATTTCTCGAATTACTGCCTCTCATCACTTCTCTGCCTGTCTGCCATCCATCAAGGTCTTGATGTGGTCTGTTCTCATAGCCACTCCATCTGTAACACCTATCTATTCTCATTGCAACTGTCTCGTGTGCTTGACAACCTCAATTCCTTGCTTGACAACCTACACATTTGCATCCATAACTGTCTCTATGCCTCCCCTTCTCATCCTGATGAACTTCATCTGTATGGGCCCATACTTCATCATGTTAAAGATCAAGAATGGGTCTTTGGGGTACCACCACAAGCAGGTGACTCTGTACATCAAACACATGAATCACTTAGTGAAGGGAGACATTCCCAAGGGTTGAGCTGAGCCTGCAGGATACAGGTCATTCATGGCAGGGTAAAACAAGGAGGACATATCCAGTGCCTTCCCTGTTCAACACAGAGGGAGTGTCAAAGTGCTATCCAACATTTGTGTGACCATAGAGGAGATCTTTCCCCTCCTACCACTCAAATGGAAGGCCATGGAGCAGAGAGGTCATGAGAATTCACCAGCAGGACTCAGCACAGGACAAGTACTCAGCAACCAGGAGTGGGCTACAGTGAACCATGCTGTGTGGGCAGAGGCTTCAGCTTTGCAATGCTGCAGGAATTGTGTTGACCAAGCCAAGAAGCAGCATCAAGACAATCATTCCAAGCATGAGGATTGGGGACTCAGTATAGGTTATTCACCATGTGTTGTCAGACCCCTCAGTCTGTCCCTCATGCCTGATGATATGCTTCCCCCCTCCAACATGATGGAAATGGACACCCCTACCACCATTGACACTGAGAAGGCCTAGACGAAGCATAACAGGATGCTTTCTTGAAAGCATCAGAGGGTGTATGTAGGAGATTCATGCTGGTACTCTCGTTCTCTTTATTCTTATCTTATCTTACCATTACTGACTCACTAATCTACTCTACTACTTTACTGCAGGGATCCTGCTTTTCTATTACTTATTGTGCCTTTTTCCTTTACCTTAGCCAAGTTCTCCTTATAGTATAGACCCTATTGGTAGGAGCCTTCTTCTCTGGGGGTGTCAGTTGATTCCACATGGTGGCCTAGGATAAACTTGCAGCCTTCCCCTTGACATTCTCCATGCCTTTGGTAAATTGTGACTTTAAGGATGAGGCCTGTCAATGAGGTCCATCCTTCCAAGTCAGACTGGCTGGGGATGTAGGCTGGTTCTGGTGGTCAAAATTGGATGGGGGATTCAAGAGTAAGTCAGTAATGATGAGGGGTATGTCTGAGTTGACTGTTGAGTCTGTAGTACTGTACTATTTTGACCGTAGGCTGTTATGTGTTATAGTATATGGTCAATTGACCAGAGGTTCAGAGCTCCATGTTACACATTATGGTTAGAAAATTAGCTTCACAGGATATGAGCAAGTGCCACCACCACTACATCAAATTAGATTATATTATTTATGAAAATAATTTTACTGAGTCAACACTGAGAATTGTGTTACATGGGAAACAGCCTGCTAGTCTTAACTGACCCTCATTCTAGTCTTGTTCGCTCAGGGGTTGCAGAGCAAATAGAACCAAACCATCTTCAATTCAGGGTTTCAGAGGCTAGCACACTGAAGGAGACACCATATGTAAGCAGAAGTGGTCATGTTCATAAGCTGTCAAAGTTATACAGTGTGGACATGTGGGATTAGGCATAAAAACACCACAGTAATGTAGCAGTGCTGAAAAAATATTTTAGACTCATAAAAATCATGTTTTGATACCTATAGGCTACCAGATTCATTGTTTATTGTTATGTGTTATGATATACTGGGAGATTCACTTCACAGGCACCTGTTACATGTTATGTGAATTACCAGTCGAAATAGTACAGTATACTCACTAGGGATGTCCACCATACCTATATATAGGTACAGCCATAAAGTGTACAGGCACTTAATGGGTATGGATATCCTGTAATCATACTGTAATGGTCTTTCCTGGGATGTTTGATGGTATGATACAGTGTACGGTATGGCCATATGGTTATTATGGATGTTGCAGTAAGGAATGGCTGCCAGATTACATATATATAAGCTATGAGATGATCCTTGACTTCTGTAAAGAATAAAAACATACCTTCATGAACCTTCTAATAACTGAGACAGCCTAATTAGTGGTGCCAAAGAGTTATTTAAAGAGAACAGACATCATCCAGCAAACAGAAACAGGCTATCTTCATTCACTGAAGCCAAAAAAAGCCTTCAATAGCATCTAATAAGATAAAATGATGTCTATTCTGCTTCCTCACAAGCACACAGACAAATGTCCAGTCAAAGATTGAGGTGTGTCACACATTCCTGGGCCTTTGTGCAAATACCCGTATTTATGGCCATAAAACCGTATTATGCTATGGGTTGTATAGGCTGATGCTGTACCATAAACTGTACTGTAAAATGGTTACTCAAAGGGCTGACAGTATGGGTATGATACCATATATACAGCACCCATATCTGCCATATGTATAGGGACAGTGGGCATCCTTAATACTCACCCTTGAGAGAGAGTCTGCAGAGCTCATTGGTGTCATCAGTTGTGTGTGTGGCCATGAAGTAAAGTGAAAGCTCTGAAGAGCAAAAAGCCTAAGAGGCTGGCAATGATGGTAAGAGTTTGGTCTGCTGAGTTCATGAATATGTGGTCACCATCATTGAACAATGATGAGAGCACCCAAAGACAAGCTTCAGCTAAATGTTATGCACCAACTCAACAAACAATATCAAACACAAGGCAGTCACTTGCATTTGGTGAACCTGCAAAGGTGTAGGCACTGAGTCATTGATAGTCAGTGAGGAACTTAGATAGTCACAAAGTCAGAGCTTTAGAGTAAGAGTTGGAAGTGCATAACCTTAGCTGAAGCTGGGGCTTAAGGCCACAGCTGAGGCTGCTTAAATACATGCTTGAGTATGCTAATAATAGAACTACAATATGATGTCCATGAGATAACCATGAAAAAAACAACAAGTAAATAACAATGCCTAGTACAATGCCAGAGTTAGCTTGGTAACAGCATGGATGATGAGTAATGGATATTATGAAGAGTCCTGGCACTAAGATACTGTATGTGAGTGTACAGTAGAAACTGTAACACATAACACAGGTACTGTTTTGTTGCTTATTTTACACTGCATAATGCATAATGCTCGATCTGTTTCCCATTTTTTCTGTTACTCTATAGAAAATCGTAAAAAATGCTATTAAATTTCTAAAGTGTCTTTTAATAATATACTATTTGTCGCCATTGACATTGCCATCATCCGCAAGTGTTACACTTCCATTTTCAATATCCTTCCAGGAGTTGCCATTGTCATTGTATTCCAAGATGTTTTCCTCAATATCATCTGCAATTAGTCTACCACCCTCACTCTGAACACTGCTGACAGTTGGGACAGTGTCCGATGGAATGTCTGTGATGCTGATACCCAGATCTTCATGGACAACAGCACTGATAGGAATATCAGCATCGTCTTCTTGGTCTAAGTCCACTTCTGCCTCAGCTCCAGTGTCAATGCCATATACCATTCCGAGCCTATTCTCAATCTCAGTGTGGAGCTCTGTATCCTTCTTGAGATAATCATTGAGTGCACTTTGCACTCTATGGCTGGTAAGGCACTCAGCTGAGAGACACCACTCTTTAGCAATGCATTTCTCCCATGTCTAGCAAGAATCATCAGTGAAGAAATGATGGAACTTACTGGTTACTAACCTTCTTCACAACATTGTGACCAGAAGGGCTGTTCATAAAGTCATAGAGTTCCACAAGCCCTGCTACAGATGCATCATGGAGTTTCAGTAATCCTGTCACGATTTTTACAGCTGCTGCTTCAATCCCCTGTGCAACTTGCAGTTGCTGCTGCTTCACCAGAAATTTAAAAAGTGTCTGTTTTAAATGATGTTTTGAGACCTGTTGTAACCCAACATCAGCTGGCTGAAAGACTCCTGTGCAATTTCCAGGAACAAAGATTAAAATGATGAAGGGATGCTCATTGTAGATGTAAGAGGTAAACTCTTTGCTCATATGAACAGGATAAATACCAATAAAGGCAATGCACTTTTAATCTTCTGGGTAATCAGGGTTAGATGTGAGAACATGTTCATAATATGGAATAAGAATGTGCATGATCCACTCCTTCATTGTTTTCAGTGTGCTGAAATGGCTCCAAGGGCTTGTTACACTTGCAGCAGAGGCAAAATAGAAACTATGTGCAAGAGCATCAGCCATCCTTGGAGCATCATGAGATAGAAGAGATCCTGTTGTCTTCCTGGCCCAGACTTGCTGAAAGGAGAGGAAGGCACCACTCACAGTGCTTGCAGTCAGGGCTGTATAACACTGCTTCTTATCTTTTGCAACAATGTCAACCTGGTGAGCACCTTTCTCATGGAAGGTGTAACTGTTATTTGGCAACAGCCAGACCCCGACTTGGTCAACATTGATAACAAGCTAGAAGATATTAGTAGATGTTAGCTTTGGTCATAATAAACATATATTATCAGCAGAGCTCACCTCTGGTGGAATGTTATACCATTTCATGGCATAGACGAGCCTGAAAAATGCTTGTTCACAGAGATCAGGTGCATTAGCAGGCAGATGGGCTGCAGCATATGTTGCCTTTCTCAGACTCCACTCAAGAACACTGGAATAGTAGTCCCGAACAAAACACTCTGAGCATTTGAATCGAGTGAGAAGATCTGGTTCCTTTTCCATAATGATTGCGACCATGATTGACTGACTAATGCTGACATTCAAAGGACCAGATGCTCATAGACTTCAGAGTGTAGCATTGATTGCATCTTAAATGTCTTTGTAGCCAGCTAGAATACCAGTGCGACCAGATCCTTCAAGGACAGTATGGTTCTGGACATTGAGAAGAGTCTTCTCACTCCATTCATTTTTCCCTGGTGCTGTCCACTTCGAAATTGTCCCCTTGTTCAACTTGGAGAACAGTGTTGGATAATCATGCTGAAGCACCTTGACTGCTGCACTCAGACTCCAACCAATGGCATGCATGACTTGATCAATGTGCATCCAGAGATAAGGATGATAATAATTTATTTGAGTTGCCTTGGCAACAACAGCACCACCTCGAGTATCATTGCGAGTCTTACATCAGGTTTTTCCAGGCTGAGAAAGCTGAGCAGCATCAGGAATTGCCTGGGATGAAAAAGTGGCATCAGCATCATGCATCAGTGCTGTGTTGACATCTAATGATGGTTCATGATCTTCCTCTGCTTGCTTCTTCAATTTTGCATTGGCACGGAATCATCGAGCCCAAGCAGCTGCTAGCATTCGCTTTCTGTTGTGGGCTTCATCTTTCTTCCTCACTTCTCTTTCTTGCTTCTCTTCTCTGTGCTCTGCCAATGTCACTGCCTCTCTCTTCAAAAATGATTCCCTCTCTCCTGGAGCCCATTTCTTCCAGCTGACTGAGCCAAGGGTTCTTTGCATGCCACCAACAGGTCATCTCCAATCTCCAAATGGTCCCACTGGTGAAGACATAGCAGGCTCTGAAGATGCAGAGGTTCCTGTTTGATTAGCTTCTTGCTGGCTTGTATTTGGTCGCATGGGTAAATCACAGTTAAAGTCATCTGAGTCACTATTGATGATGATGGGACTGTTTCTGGCCTTTTTTGAAGGGTGAGGCTGTTTCAAGCTGTCGGACTCCATTGTGGTACTGAGCGCCAATTCCGTAGTTTGAATGGACTGAGACTCTGGAATCTCACTGCTAAGAACGTCTGCCTTTTGCTTTTTTTGCACATCGCATGATGGGATCTTGGCACCTGCATGAACAGCACTCCGAATTATCTGCTCAAGCCATGCTTCCTTGAAAACAGCATGATTGATATTGGTTTTCAGGTACTTTTTCACAACTTCCTTCAGAAACTTGATGAGATCAATGGAAAGACGATGTCCTCATTCCGTGAGCCTGATTTCACCATCAGGTTGGTGCCAAGTGTCAAACATGACCTCGAGGCATCGTGATAGGGCTGCCATTCCACTTGGATCTTCTGATAGAACTTCTGAATCAAGATAGAAGATGTATTTGGAGTTGTTGGGATCAAGGAGGAATTCTGGGCAGTCTGGAAGGTGCTTGAAGAGATTCTTCAAATGGTTTATTCATTCAATCAGAGCCTTAGAAGGACCTGTTGATGGCTTGGGGTTTACACTTGTCTTTGCAGGCTTCAGTGCCATAGGAAATAAACCAGAAGGAATGGTTGTAGAAAGTAAAGGATTATTGAATTTCAATTTCCTAAGTAAGTACTCAAGGTAAAGTAAGTAATGTTGTAAAAATCTTGGAACAATAGAGCAACTACTTTGTTGCAGCAGTGTTGGGTAGCTTAGTGGTATGGTCTCGTGTTGCTTAATCAGGCAACCATAACACATAACTCAGGGACTGTTTCCAAGTTTCTCTAAATCTTGACCGTAACACTCGTTTCAGTGTTTCTACTGTACACTCACATACAGTAAGTTGAAGGTAAATGCTGAAGATAAGACAAGATAAGGGAAAAACTGTAATAGTCTGGGACCAGATGCTATTGGCTAGGATCAGGTGGTTGCATGGCACATGACAACTTCTGATTAATAAGCACTGGCAATAGACTTGGAGAGACCTTGGCAAGCAAGGCAATATGTTGTCATGTGGAGCAAGTGCCAGTGATGAGCCTCTAGGCTCTGTATGCTCAGAATTTGTGGATTTTACCAGATAGCTAATTCCCCAGCCACCACACAAACATACCATTTCAATCCCAGCAATGTTGCTTAATGCTGCCAATTATCCTTCCCCACTTGTACCCCACATCAATTACATGCTTCTTTCATTAATTCTGCCAGGCACCTGATGGTTGATCTCACAGATTTAGAATCTAATCTGATTGCCTAGCACAGCCACAATTCTGCAGTTCCAGATAGCAATTCCATGGAATTAGCTCTAATGTCATGACCTTTCCTCTGTCTTTACTAAGGCTGTTATTTGGCCAAGAGAATGCTGCACACATCTGCTTCAGTACCCTTGCTTTAATATACTTTGCTGCAGCAACACAGCAGCTCAAAAATCCAGAGATCGGTGGTATTCTTGCTAATCACTTTATCTATATGCAGTAAAGCCATGTGGGTGCTGTTACTTTCAAACTCTAGGAACACATGTTTTGTATACCAATCTATGTACTACAGACTTACTAAGAACTTGCTTCAAGTATTCTAAATTTATTCCAGACTCATAATATAAAAGCTAGTATAGTAGTTATCAGACACAGTTAGATCGGACACAGTTACTGCACACATTATCAATCACCGTTACTATTTGTACTTGCTAGAAGATAGATAATACAACTCTGTCACTCCAAGTTATACTTGCTGTCATGGCTTTTCTTCTAACAGTATTGGTGTATGCTCATATTGCACTAATACACAGAATTTCATGTCTACAACTCGCTTTTATTTTTTAATCCGCCAGCATCATTTCACTTTCATCAGCCAGGATCATTTTATCAGCTTTCACCTTCTACATCGCCATCGTTTTACCCAGCTCAGTTCAGGGTAGTTAAGTCTCCATATGGACTCAGATTAGGATCATTATTGCTGCCAGTAGCATCTGTCACAGAATTTTGGTCAACAGCTTCAGTATAGGATCATCAGTCATGGTATTTGGTATCTTGCCATCAGTTTCAGAATAGGATAGTCTCTGTGTAGACTTAGGATCAGTATCAGTTTTGTTTTACTGCCATTAACTTCAGTATAGTTTCAGTTTCTACCTTGCCCAGTCTCAGTCATTGTTTTTCTGCCACTAGTTCCCCTTTATATCACCGCCAGCTCATCTTATCCTCATTTTACTGCCAGTTTCTCATTTCTCAACTACAGTCTTCATTTATTGCCATCACAGTATTTGTTATCTTGCCAATGGTAGTCTGGCCACAGTCCAGTGCAGGACCATGTGAACCCAGTCTGAACCCAAACCAAACCCACAGGTTCAGGTTCGGTCCAGATCCAGGTTCAGCATAGCCATGGGGGTTCAGGTTCAGGGTTCAACCTTGTCCAAATTTGTGAACCCGGTTTATACCCAGTCTGAACCTCGTGAACCTCGAAATGTGCCTGAGCTCATGCCACACAGCTTTTTCATGTCATTGCTGTTTTCTGCAATCCAAATTTCCTTTCCTTCACTTTCCAGGTCATGCCTCATTGATGGTGCAGGTGGTGCAGTCAGGACACATACATTTTCTGAGTATGTATTCTTGTTCTATGCATCTCAGCTAATACTAAGCCTCATTTTTGCTTTCCCAATATTGTCTGGTGCAGCGTTATTCTTAGTGACTTCAATAGGCTTTGATAGGAACCCACTGCTGATACAACAATACCATTGCTTATAGAGTCCTACCAATGTCGTATTGAGAATTGAATAAAACATCTTGCTCTGACCACTTACTGGTGTAAAAATCCATGAACTATGCCCTTCAGATATTGCAAGAGGTCACTTCTGCTTTGTGCAAGACTTTGAGATGATGTGACGCCAGCATAGAAAATTTTTTTGGTGGACCCGGTTTGCCGGTATTCCCAGTTATACTGGATTCTGTTCCTTCTTGTACATCAAGACTCTTTCTAGCTTACAGCCAATGCTTTCTAGTACTTGATCGTTAAGGGTACTACTTCGCTGACTGAAAAGTTGCAGTGTATACTTGCATTCTTGAGGAATTCATTGCACAGAGATGCACCGAAACACTTGCACAACAACCAAAGCCTTTATTGCTGCTACATGCCATTTGCCATGAACTCATCTAGAGTTTTGGTTTTGCTGTTGCCATGGAAGTTTAGACTCATCACTAGCTTGTTGCTGAGGCACCAAGGGGTCACTGGGATTGTGGACTGGTACACACTGGTGGTAGGTAGGTTGGGCCTAAAGGGCTGCTAAATTTTTTTTGGATAGATTATTTTTATATACATCTACAGTATCTACAGACATATATAAACATCCAAAAGACTTATATGAGCTCATTTGTACTTTCTATTTGCTCCTGCCTGTGCACAGACCATGATATTCCGAGAAAATTTGAATATTATTCTAATACCTGCCAGTCCCACCAACCATGGTTTCATCTTTCAGGTGCAGAACTAAGTGAAGGTTTAGTATCATCTACAATGCATAGAACTGGAATATATACCCAGAAAATGTTTGTGTCCTGCCTGCACTGTTGATGAGATGTGACCTGGAAAGCGAAGGAGAGGGTAAGGGATTACAGGGAAACAGGAGTGATATGGTAAAGCTGTGGGGCATGAGGCAGGCACAAGGATCCCATATATAGTATAATGATGTCATAATGATATTATATGGTAGGTAGGTTGAGCTTTGAGGGCCGTTAATTTTTTTTTCGACGTTGTGTACCAAATCCCAAAATCAGAGACCCCTTGTGGGGCACTTGATTTATAGGTGTAGGGTTTTGTGGGAGTTGAATTAATTAAATTAATTCAAAGAGAGGAGAGAGAAGTTAAATATTGGGCTACTGAGAGGTACCCATCCTCCATCAATGCTAGTATATGTTCTAATACCCTGAATATACTGTCTTGTAAAGCCCTTTATTTTTTCTTTCATGCTTCGCACTGTAATACATTAAAATACAGGTTTTCAGAATGATCATTGACACAGATTACATCTAGACAGACTGAAAACTCCATGAAGAAAGGGATAATTCTTCTGTTATGCATGGCATAGCATACAAACATAAATTGTATGATATTGTTTGCTGTCACTGCTGTAGCAGGAGAAAAACTGCTCCTGCTTGGGTGAAATTTGCTTTCTGCTCATTCAAAAGGATACACATTCTTGAAACAAATGCATGCAAGCATTTGAGAATGCACAACCATGAGCACCTGCTCCGGAAAGTGTTGCTCAGTCTGAGACATCAAGATGATCTTGCACATATGGTGGCCTCACAGATAAATTAGGGCCTTTGATGAGCTCAGACATTTATAAATACATTATGCACTTCTACAGATACCCCCGCCAAGCTGAAGAGATGAAGGCAAGGCAAGCACAACTGCGTAAGCTGCCTCAATGCTCATACAGGGAATTAATTAATTCAAACTCCGACTTCCGAATTAGTCTAGGACTTGTTTGTACATAGTTAGGTCCTAGTTAGGTCCGGTTTGGCCTACACCCATAAATCAACTGCCGTTGCTGGCAACAAGCCGGCATCCTTTTGGAATTGTGTTCCTCTATGAACCCCGGCCCTGGGTACTAGGCTAGCACACCACTGGGACTTCAAACTCAGATTTGCCAGTCTATATCTTAGCTGCAAAGCAGCTTTTACCCCCCATGAAGGAGAATGGGAAGGTGTCTGGCTTTGTCCAAGGAAGTTACAGATAATCTCCCTTAAAAAAAGAGGCTCCTAGTATTGTGACCTTACAGTAGATATTGAGTACACTTCAAGTTTATCCTGCATTACATCGTCATACAAAAGAAAGTTCCACATCACTGTCCATTTGCAATGCTCATCAGACTGCCCACAAATGTCATAATCTACACCAACATCAGCAACGGACGAACACAAACGAGTACGCTATAGACTCACCAGCTTCGGCCGAATATCAACAATATCTTCAGGTACCAAGAAGATCAACGCGTTCATCTTCCTCGCAATGGATATTGCCAATTTTGCATTTTGTCTCCGGTCTTCGTAGTCGCCAGTCACGTCGACTGCAATAACCAACGAGGGGTCGACAATTCCTGGTCTGATGGCGTCTAGCAAGTCGAGGAAAAACAAGCCTGTCGAGATAGAAGGATCCTTGAAAGACCTAATACTTCTTGTCCGAGAAACGGGATTCGCTGCTGTGGCGGCAGTAGCATTGGCCCATTTGAGTATCTCGCTATCTGAAATAGGTCGGCCGCCACTAGACTTGCTCAAAGACGTCAGCGTCTTGGTGATACTCAGTCTGTGAAGGGTAAGTTTCGGCAACGGAAGAGTAGCTGAGCAGTACAGACCTCATCAGCTGCCAGACTAAACCAAGCACCAACGTCTTGTTCCCATCGACAATATCTGCGCCTTGGATACCGACCATATGCAAGCCGCTACCCCTAGCCAGATCGACGGCATAGTTTGTGTTTTCTACAGCCTTGAAACGGCTTACGCCCATACCTTTAGACTGCATCCCGACATCTTCATCTTCCTCGCCGACGGCCCCACCAGATACATACGCGCCAAGGTTGGCTCCCCTTCCCTCCTTGGGTTTCGACACCCGTCTCCAAACAACGACCCCAGGGCTAATCTTATCGAAAGCCTGAAGAATGACTAGTCCGTCCCTGAGATCCTCGACGAGGTTGAACACGCCTGGCTCAACACCCAACGAATTCAACCATAATGTGAAGACACGAGCTTCGCGTTCACCCTCTGCATCAAAGTCCTCCACGGCGCCATAGTCCGTCTTCTCGACCTCCGTAAGCGGGTCCAATCCAGGATGGGTGTTGAACAGATTAGCGACAAAGGCCAAGTTCAAACGAGGGTTGCCTGCAATAAGCGAGGAGGGAGTCAGGAATTTTCGACAGCCAATCTTGTCAGCGTTCGACAAGACCTGCTCTGCGCGCGTTCGAAGATCTGACGTTTGCAGCGGAGCCAAGGTGCATTCTGCCGGTACGAGCTGATTGAGCAGCACAGTATAGTTCTCTCCATCGTTGACGTCCCTGCTAAAGTTGTTAACCCGCCTATGCCACCCGGCCTTCTTGAGATGATAATTGAACCATCGCACGAGAATCTGATCAGGCGTGAGCCTCAAGAGATCCTCGATGGTCTCACCCTCTTCACACAGCCTCCCGAGCTCTGGATGGATCCTCAAATCCACACCACTAAGCAGACCCCTCCGGATAACCTGCCAAATCAACCCCAAGATCAGATGCTCCCTGCCCTCCTGGATATCGGCACTCCCGATGTTCACCACGGAGCATCCAATGGCCTTGGCACTGGTAATCACGATATTGTTGTTCTCCGTCATCTGGAACGCATTCAATGGCTTCTTCGCCGTCGGTTTGTTGAGAACACGCGTATCGATGGTATCCGGAACCGAGTCATTGATCAGCTTGCACAGCACGAGTCCGTCCTTGCATTCGTCAAAGAGCTGCATCGTATCGGTAGGAATGGGGTATCGGCCTGAAATATCAGGATCGTTCTCAAGAACCTACAGAATCATGAGTATACAGCCAGTATTTCGAGAAACGCAAAGCCCACCATGTTGATATGATTCGTAAATTCGCGCCGCTCATCCTCATTGATGGTATGGCTGACATTCGCATTGCTCCCCTGCACGGTCATCTTTCCCTTTGCCGTCTTGATACCACCTCCAGTCGCTGCTTGCGAGTGTAGTTTGACATTAAGCTGTAGACCCTATTGAGTTGCCGTCTGCAAGAGTATCCTCCGAGTACACACCTCAACCCAGTCCTCCAGCTCGACCTTGCCGCTCGCATCGACGCTAACATGCTTGAGCGTTTCTCTAGCCTGGTCATAGCTTTCACCAGAGCTTTGCAGAGCTTGAAGAACTGCGGTCTTGTCTACACGACCTGGTGAGTCGGTAGATATCGAGCTGTGAATTCCGTTGTCAGCAAGACTGTCCAGCCCCTCCAGTGCGCACTCACTTGAATCGATTAATGAGATTAAGCATCTCGTCTCTCGAGACTTCTGGGTACTTTTTCTGCAGTCGTAGGGCCTCCATGGTAGAATATTGACAGCGAACGTCGAAGTATGAGACACAGTTATATATACGGACCGGTGGCTGTGCGATGACTCTGACGAAGACTGCGCAAGGCTACGGCCAAGTCCATGAAACAGAGAAAAATATGCATTGCGTGTGGTCTAATTACTATCTACTAAAAGCACAGAGAAAACATAGTAAAGGAAAACTTCTCGATCCACCATCAATCACTGCATCCTGCCCAGCACCCGCGGTTGGCTCACATCTGCCATGTTGATAAAGATATCATCTGCAGGGTGTCGGTACAGTGGTGCCCTCAGTCTCTTCTGGTCAAGATGATGTCCAATGAAACCGATACTCCTGCCAAGCACGAACAAGCCGTTCAATGTACCGATCTTTAATGCAAATCATTATTAGTCAATATCTCCGAACAGATACCGGGCATCTTACCTTGATGTACTCATCCGCTTCCTCTGGCGTGAACGCACCACTGTCCCTCAACAGGTCGACAAAGCACACAGCAATACATCCATCCACGTTCAGAATCAGGGTATCCTTCTTGCTCGTTGTCACCTTTTCCACAGCAAGCGCGTAGTCGAGCAATGAGTGGCTGGGGAAGTTTTTGCGAACATACTCCTTGACAAGCTCAACACGCAAATCAGGGTTGTTGACGCTCTTGATCTTGTGTCCAATACCGGAGACTAAACCCTACGTATCAGCACTGTATCAGTTACTCCAAAAAGGGGTACTCACTAAGCTTGTTTGCTTTTCTTGAGTTGTCAACAAACTCCCGCGGCGTCAAACCTGTGTCCCGCGCGTTGCTAAACATAGCAGCAGCTTCGTCGAGAGCACCACCGAACCGACTACCGATCGTCAACAGACCGGATGCCAAGGACGAAATCAAGTCCTTGCCCGCTCGCGACGCGACGATCGTGTTCATAGCACCAGAAACAGCCGGACCGTGATCCGCAGTGAGCATGAGGACCATCTCGATGAACTTGGTCGCCCAAGGAGGCAAACGCCTCTTGAACCACAGCAGACTGACAACACCACCAAGCCCAATATCCTCCTTGAATACATCACTGATCCTCATACCAGCATACAACAGCTCCTGGCCGCGCTCATCGGAGATCGTCGAGATGAATGCAGCAGGTTTACGGATCAAGCCCAACTCCTGAGCCCACTTGTAGTCCATCGGAATAACAGGAGGGTCCCTCTCGGGCTTAGGCACAACAACACCCTTTGCGACGAGCGCGTCATACGTCTCCCGAAGGACAGTCGGCAACTCCTCAAAGGTTTCCGGAACAACGAACCCTGCCTCCCTCATCGCGCGGTTCTTCGCATCGGCAGTCTCGAGGTCAGAGTTGGCCATACTTCCAGCGTGCCCGAACTGCACTTCGGTAGTAAACATCTTGGCGCAGGTACCGATGGCCCATGCAACGATGGGCTTCTTGATCTGCCCGTTCTTGACGGCCTCGATCACGCGGTACTCTTCAACACCACCAACTTCACCGAGGAGAACTAGCATCTTGCAGTCGGGATCAGCCTCGTAGCGGAGGAGATGGTCGATGAAGGTGGTACCGGGGTAACGGTCACCACCGATAGCGATACCCTCGTATGTGCCGTTCGTCGTAAAGGAAAGGATGTTGTTAAGCTCGTTGGACATACCACCGGACTTGGAGACGTAACCAACCGAACCGGCACGGTAGAGCTTGGACGCGATGATGTTGTCCATCATACCACCAGAGTTTCCGATCCTGAAGCAACCAGGCTTGATACCTCCAACAGTAGCAGGACCAATGATCAGCACGTTACGCTGCTTGGCCTCCCAGAGAATCTCACGGGCATGTCTCTCGGGAACACCCTCAGCAATGAGCGCAATGCTGCGAATGCCGGTGTATCCACCCTTGAGAATCTCCATTGTGCTGCCGAGCACGGATCGGCTACTGGCAAAGTTGACGACAACATCGACGTCAGGGTGCTTGGCGACAGCCTCGCCGACGCTGGTGTAAACAGGGAGTAGGGTCTCCTTAGTACCCCAGTAGAACTTTTGAATATGATGACCACCGAAGGGGTAGATCATTGCAGCAACGCTAGGTGTAGCGCGACCGCAAGAGTAATCAAAGTCGAGCATACCCTGAATTGCACGGGGCTGGAGACCATAGACGAAACTCCTGGTGTGTTCATCGAAAGGCCGGTAGCTGGGTCGGGAAGTGGGAGAGCTGGTGTCAAAGTGTACGATCTGGTCATCGGGTTGGGTACGCTCGCCAGATGGGTGGATGGTGCCGACGGCAGAGGGTTCGGACGTGACGGAGCCAGAAGCAGCGGCAGGTGGAGTTCCAGGGGCAGTTGCAGGAACGCTCTTTGGTGAGTGCGACTTTGCACTGATGCCGAGAGCAAGAGGAACGATCTCTGTGATGTGGGTTTCAGGACCAAAGACACGGATGGGAACACCCAGGGACTCTCCGAGCAGTCTCATCGCCTTGAGACCTTCCTGTGCGGAGTTGAGAATGGAGCATACAAACACCGAACGGAGTCGGACGCACCTGGTAGTTGGGACCGCCACGTCGGACAAAGATCTTGACCCCAGAGTTGATGAGCTGTTGCTTGTACTCTTTCAAAGCGCGAATAATGCCCTTGAATGTTGCAGCGACATTGGTGAAGTTGGCAATACCACCACCGATGATGAGGATCTTGCATCAGGACGAGGGGTACCGCGAGTGATCAAATCGACTGTGAATGCGTTAATCAGACAATAAACAAATGATGATGATCAGCACTCACTCAGAGTTTTGGCATACTCGTAGGTCTGTGCCCTCGGTAGGGGCAACCTGAATATTCTCCATAGTTGGCAAGTCATGTGCAAACCCACACGCAGCGATGGCATCACTGTAGAACGACACTGGCACCACCACCTGCAACATGGTCCCAGACGGCGACCCTCGGGGTTGAGGACAGTCAGTTTGAGGGAAGGCACCGGTAGACGCATCAAGTTTTCTGGATGTATGCTTCCTCTTTGGTGAGAGAGCGACCGAAGGGCGCAGGGAACACCATGGGGGGACCACGGTCGGCAGTGACCTTGCCACCCTTTTGCACGACAGCCGAGCCGTCGTAAACGCTGAGGTCGCGAGCAATAGCCCACTTTTGTCCGCAAATGCTCTCAGCTGTCTGATCGAGCTTGGCAGCCATGTCCAAGTAGTGAATCTCAACCTTTCCGCTCTTGCTCTCTGATGCACCGAGACAGATGAGAGGGTTGATCTCAAGGTAAGCAAAGTGGAGGTCGACGTATACCGAGTACAACCGAATGAGGAAGTCGACGAGGGCGCTCTTCTTCTCGGCAGGGACATGGGTAAGGAGGGTGGCGGCGATGGTCTCTTTTGAAGGGAATGTGTTGGGCTTGGCAGATGTTGGGACGGGAATGTCGAGTTTGAGGGCCTTGGCGTCGACGTCGCCTACATCGACACCACCTTCGT